TTATTACTGTGCTGACAGTTCTCTACACAAGAGGATCATATGGACCAAACACACCATGACCACAGAGCAGGAGCCGCCCAGAGACCTCATGTGACTCTTGCTACCTTGAATGACTGGGCTTCGGTCAGACCGGCCCACACTTTAACAACTTCCTTCCTCATTGGGATTCATTGTGTCCAGTCTGAAGTGCTGGAGCTGAAGCTATTTTTACCAAAGCAGCTTTCATTCCCCCCTCTGCCATTGGCTCTGCAAACACAGCGAGGCCCGGCTGCTGCCTGTGTTTGTTTGTACAGTAGAATTACAGAGAGGCCAGCGAGGAAAGTATGTGGCTCAGGAAGCATGAGGTAGCACTTCTTCACCACAGAACGGGCAACAGGGTTTGGAAGAGTGAAACGGGGCCAGGTTTAAGAGAAGGGGGAGTGGAAGATTTTAAATAGGATACAATACCATACTGTACCATACCATACTAAACCATACCACACCATACCATACCAAACCATACCGTACCATATTTGCCATATCATACCATACCATACCAAACCATACAAATACCATACCATACCATACAAATACCATACCATACCATAACATATTTGCCATATCATACCATACCACACCAAACCATACCATATTATACCATACCAACCCATACCATACCATACCATACCAACCATACCATATCATACCATATTTGCCATATCATACCATACCATACCATACCAAACCATACAATATTATACCATACCAAACCATACCATACCATACCATACCATACAAACCATACCATACCATACCAAACCATACCATACCATACCAAACCATATCATATTATACCATACCAAACCAAACCATATCATACCAAACCATATCATACCAAACCATACCATACCATACCAAACCATACCATACCATACAATATTTGCCATATCATACCATACCAAACCATACCAAACCATACCATACCATACCATACCAAACCATATCATACCAAATCATACCAAACCATACCATACCATACCATACCATATTTGCCATACCATACCATACCAAACCATACCATATTTGCCATACCATACCATACCATACCAATACCATATTTGCCATACCATACCATACCAAACCATACCATACCATACCATACCATACCAAACCATACTATACCATATTTGCCATACCATACCATACCATACCATACCAAACCATACCAAACCATATCATACCATACAAAACCATACCACATAATAGCATAGCATACACAGGTGGCCCCTACAGCCAGCATTCATCACCACTTAACTCTGCCCAAGACCAAGGTGACTTATGAAGTGTTGAGTAGTTAACCTGCTGATCCCATCCCCACCAGCATCATATATAAGTAAAATATTAAATATTCAAGGGTTAGATGCAAAGAATAACAGCCCAATAAAGTAACAAAAGATGAACAAAAAAGTAAAAAAAAAAAAAAGTAATTACGTGAAGCATTGATAGTTGGGTTTCAATAAGCTTCAATTTGAATTTCCCCTGAATAAAAGTGGGAACAGTCATCCATCCATCAGTCTATTATCTTTACAGCTGATCCAATTCAGGGTCACAAGTGACTGGAGCCAATCCTTGCTGTCATTGGCAGAGAGGCAAGAGACGTGAAGGTGAAATATAAATAAATGTAAGATATCAAGAGTTAAGTTTGAATGTCATAAAACACTATGAAATGTTGAAAATCAAGTTTTTATCTGGGGAAGTAAGTCAAACCTTCAGCAGTGCAGCAAAGGATTTTTTTCTGTTTTTGTACTCGGAAATGTTGTAGATAAAGTTGAAGACAACTCCCTTTGCAATTGGAAATGGGCCACCTTGATTATCCTGGCTTTTTTATTTATGTGATCTGCATAGTCGGTGTTTCAAACTGCAGACCGGGCAGCATGGGAGACATTAACTGTTAAAGGATCCTCTCCGCTGCCTGTGATAGTGAGAGGAAAAGCTGGCTGAGAGAGATTTGATGAGGGATACTGTGCAGAGTAATGTAGAGCCTATAACGGCACACACATTCATACTAACACAGTCATACTCACACAAAGAGACGACATAGGGAACTGAATCATCTCCACATTATTTTTTGGAGGCGGATGGCTCAGCACTGTAAATCAATCCACACTGAACGGCTCGTAAATCTGACGGCGTTGTGTGCCACATTGTGAAGGTAATAATTACACATTACTGCTGAGCCTCTTCATCTGCAGCTCTGCTCCCAATTCTTTACACTGAAAAAGCACATTCCTGTCATGTCTCTCCAACACCGGCGCGCTCTGTGAATATGGTCACCATGGCAACGCACCACTTTCTCTCTCCTCCATCTTCCTTTTTCAGCTCCCGCTGTGCACTGAGAGCATCCCCCCACCACCACCATCTCTCCAACACCCGGAAAGAAAGGATTCTCCCTGAACCTTGAGCAAAACACAGCTGAATGAAACATCATAAGAGTGCAGGTGGGCCGGAGGAAAACAGGAGCCAGAGTCAAAAAGGTCAAACGTTAAAGCTTGACGACAGCCAACATATGGTGTCAACGTCTCAGGAAAACATCCGACACTAGAGTCATGTTGAAAACCCATCAGTGACTGCTTTATTATTTTTTTTATAAAAAAACATTTCTAATTCAATCCAGAGCAATACAATAGAGCTCTCTTTCCAAGCTTACCAAACTTTATTTCCTTAGACAAGCTTTTTTAATATGTAGGCTAATCCTCAGAGCATTCATTTTACTGAACGACATATCATTAAAACATTTTAAATAGTTGATTTCATAATTAGGTATGATATCTGTAAACATGGCAAGCCCTTTTAACATTTAACGAGTAGGACCGGCGAGTAGAGATTTAAAGATTTGGAAATTTTGTCATGAAACAAATGTCATTTTTGGTCCCGAACAATCTATTTTAATGTTTTGCAGATTAATTAAAATAAAACATACACCAATTATGGATGTCTACGATTGAATTTTCACAAGCTGAAAAGGGGTGATGCCAAGTTCAAATATAGTTCAAAAGATGAGTTTTTAAAGGCTACATTTTTATCACAACAAATTGACAATATTTATTTAACACTAAAAGCAACAATATGCAGGAATTTGGGTAATTATCAACCTTCAGTTGAGAGCTGAAAATATTAGTAAAAATTAAAACTAACAACTTCCCCTCAACTATAGTTTCACAATTTAACTGAAAGTAGACTGTTGCTAGGCAACCCAAACACTGTCCTGCACTCAGCTACTCTGATGGTTACCACAGAGCAGCTTCTTAGTATTATGATCCTCTACTTGTATGTTAGAAGTAATAAATATTACCCTGAAACCAGTGACATTAGACTCTGTTGCCTGATTCTGAGGTTTGAGGTCATTAATAAATAAATCTCTGTCAGATTGTAAATGTGAATTAAAATAAATCAGAGCTTCTGGCTGAGGTGGAGGCCTACATATTGTTAAAAGTCCCTTTGATGTTGTTCTTCTATACCGTCACTCATGTAATGCCTCTTGTCCAATCAGATTGCTTGGTCGTAACTAACTCTTTCTTAACAATTGAAATAGCTGATGATGTTTATATAAAAAAATCACCATTTGCATCAATTTGATGTATCATTAAATTGATTTGCAATTTAAAAAAAACCAAAAAGACATTTCAACTTTGACTAATAGACACACAACATCACAACAGATATCTGTCGTTGTGTTTGAATAGATGTCAGTGGTTGATTGAGTTACAGATATATACGTTGCACATTTACGCGAGTAAGAAAATAAATGCTGATTAAGTGATTTACATGACCAGTAAAAATGTTTTTAGATATTTAGATTTTATTTGCTTCTTATGCAGATTAGGTGATGGATGTGTTAGGTTAAAATAAAAAAGTGGGTGATTTCTACATCTGCTAATAGAACCTCTAGTCTCGTTCAAAGGAGGGCTTTGAGGTGAAAAGTCCTCACCTGGTGGTGACCCCATGGTGAAAAGCCGAGTTACAGACGGAACATTTAATCATACCAGTAAGCAAACATCAGCGCTGCACAGAAGCAGAGCTGCTTCCTGTGAAGAGATTTATTGTCTTTCACTCTCCCTCAGGTGGAGAATCAGCTCACTGCGATATTATTACACCTGAACTGTGCTCCATCTGTGTGAATTAGAAGGTCCCTGACTGATCTTTCCGTGGTAAACAACAACAACAACAACAACAACACCACCAGTTGTCTAGTCTGTAGCTCGGAGGACGTCTGCCCTGGTGGATTAGGGGAGGGTGATTAGAGGATTGGCTATTCATCCTTGTCAGCAGTGTTGAGCTGTGCTGAAGCTCTCGCCCACTCATGTATGTTGAACTCACTGCAACCGCCGAGCTGTCAAAACTTTACGGTTGCCGCACACTGCGGCTGTAATATATCGCTTGTAATCCCTTTGTGATGCACCGCACACCTCTACTGCGGACAGGCATCACAGCTAATTGTCGATAGATCAGAAATGTCAGGGTTCTGCTGAGCTACACTGAGATTAGCATATTTACACGCTGGTCGTGGATGTGAGAGTTTCTACGGGGATACAATGAGCTGCTCAGGTGGATGGACAGATCGAGCCAGAGGAATCACGTCAGGGGTCAGCTCTACCCTGAGGGACTCCTGACCCTTCCAGTGCCTTTTCTGGATACGCTACACAACAAGTTCCCATCTTAAAAAACAGCATCACAGCCTCCTGCATTTAAACTGTCCCAGTGCATTTGGGGTTCTCATATTCAAACTCATTACACAGATCTCCAGCGGTGCATAAAGCAGATTAATAATATCAAAGCACATCTGTGCCCTTTGGTGGTGCTGTAAATCTTGTGCTGAACACTCCCGCTTCAATTACATGATGATTTAATGACTGCTAATGCAGACCTGGAGAGCAGGCCACGGCGATATAATTAGCCATGGAGGAGTAGAGTGTGAGGGCTACATATTGTGTAACACGGGGGAGACGATGTTTTACACTCACCTCTGGCCCCTGCTCCTGAATGTGGCAGGACTCGCTGTCTCCCTCTGAGAAGGAGCCCGACTCATCGCTGGAGTTGGTGCCGTAGGACTGCTCACATTTGATCTTGGGTCGCACCTGGTTGAAAAGGGCGTCCCCTCCCATGCTCTGCTCCTGCTGGTCCACATTGAGGCAGCGGGCCACGTTGGAGCACGGCGAGGAGGAGAACTCGAACTGGGGCAGGCTGCAGGGGGAGCCTCCGCTGCCGTCCTCGGCATAGGAGTACGAGGAGCAGGAGCTGGAAGTCCGGGTGCGCGTCTCGCAAGGCGGCGAGCGCGGGCACACTTTGATTGGCACTGGGCAGCTGGTGTTGGGTCGCGGGCGGCACAGAGTCGGGGGCTCCGAGGAGGTGGCGCCCGGAGAGTAGGTTTGGGAGGTGGGGAGGGATTGGCTGGCTCCAGCCCACACGCCCTTTGGCATGTGCTCAGCGGGATCCATCTCCAAGGAGTTCCCACCAGGGTAGGAATGCGCTGGGGTTCCCAGACGGTTGCAGGCCCCTGAGGAAAATATGACACTACGGCGGTCAAGCTCGACTTCCTGTTTGCAGACCCCGTCGCAGGAAGCGGACTTGAGGGACAACCCTACAGGGAAACCGTCCCCGTCCTTTGGGGATGTAACAGACAGACTCAGCTCCCCAGAGAAAGGCCTGAAGTCTTTTTTATGATCTCCCTGAGAGTTTCCTTTGTCCTGGGGGCTGACGAGTCTGTTGGCGAATAGCTGCTGTGAAGTGTTGGGCAGACCGGGGAGGTCCGCCCCTTTCTTGAAGAAGGCTCTGAGGCAGGACGGGGACTTGGTTCTCTTGGTTCTCTCCACAGATATGGGGTGATCCATCTCCATGGCTATCACACTGTCCTTATCCCTGCCGTCCTGCTCGTCTCCCGACAGGCACAATGAGATTGCCTCTTCCTCGGCCTGCGGTTCCACTTTGATCTGTGCCAGAGGCAGCCTGCCCGGACTCTGCACTGTGCCACCGACGCCGCTCTCCTTTAATGTGCTTGGAAAACCTGAGGTACTGGTGTGTGAGGAGGTGTCATTATTGTGCTTGTTGCAAGCCCACTGGTATTTCCTGTACTTGGGGCATCGTGGCAGGTCTGACGCTCCGTGTCGATCAAAGTCCAACCTGCCGTCCATCAGCTGACTGGACATCGCTAGCCGATCGTCGTCTGGGTGTCGGAAGGAGGAGAGGGCGTCAGCACACCGCCGCACCCTGGGGGAGGTGGGCTTTTCCTCCGACTGCATGCTCTCGTCCTCCGAGTTGTTGGCCTCCGCCGCCACCTTCCGGCAGAGCAGCAGGCCGTCCTCCTCGCTGCGCAGCTGGGCCTCCAGGAAGCGAAAGCATGAGTCCTCGAGGTTGTGCATGCGCAGGAATTTGGCACAGCGGATGACCTCCTGGATGTTTTCTCTGCTGAGTAACAGCTTAGCAGTGTAGGCAAACTGCAACAATGGAGCGAATCCCCTGGCAGTGACCTGCGAAAAAACAGGGAAATTGCCAGCATTACCATCAGCACAGGCATTGTTCAGAGCACTTGGAGTGTGGTGAGACAACCGGACAGCTCAGACCATCATAAACAAACACTGTAAAGTACCGCTTAATCTTTCTATCGGTCAGCACTGAACGTTGGACACAGCAGTAAATAAGAACTGGTGGGTTTGTACTGGGGATTTTGGCAGGTTGTGTGTCCTGCCGCATGTTCATAATAACAACCTGTGGGACATTCCAGCAGTCCACCACTGTCTGCTCTGTGGTCTTACCATTGGGTTGCATACGCCCACTCCTGTCACTGCTTTAGCTTATTGACTTTAGGTAAGATGTCTAAGCACAAGTGTTCCCTGTCTGCAGCAGAAGTCTATGTTTAAATGAAACCTTTAATTCATTCATGAAGGGCTAAATGACCCCAATCAAAGATTGTTGTTGAGCTGAGTATCAGCTAATAAGTTCATTTTGAAGAGATGTAACACTCATGAAGTTAAGATTCATTTTTTTTTATGATCATTTTTGGCCTTTATTGAACAGTTTAAGAGAGACAGAAACTTTGGGAGGACAGAGTGGGGGATGACATGCAGCAAAGGGCCAAGGTTGGATTCAAACCCATGACTGCTGCGATTTCTGTACATGGGGCTTGTATCATAACCACTAGGCTACCGGCATCCCCATTTCATTCTTTTGACTAAGGAAGTAAAGATTCATTTTTGGGCTTCTGCCTTTTGATTTAGATTGGACAGTGGACAGAGTAGGACAACAGGGAGAGAGATAGTGGAGAAAAATATGCTGGAAAGAAGCCGAACCCAGGCCGTCTGCTATGATTGGTCTTTAAATCATAATAGCTAAAACACAATGGCATAACTGTATAACTGAGGGGCCTTTACATTGCACAGATCCAGGGATTCAAGGTATTTGAAAATACAAAAAAAAAAGGACATGACAATAGAAAAAAAGACAACGTAGGCAGCAGAGGACCGATCGCAGACATCAAAGGATGAAACTAATCAGGAACTTTAATAAAAGAAAGAGTAATCAAGACATTTATGTTGGATTTTGTCTCTTGGCTGGAACTTTGTACCCGGCTCTTTTCATACCGGACCCCTTCCCCTAAGAAACGTGCATGGTTACCTGATTTGCCTTCACAATGAGTCTGGACGCTCTGTGTATACTGTAAGTGTTGGGATCAGGACACGGCCCCGCAGCCTCACTTTCTGTGTCAGTGCCCTGCATCGTCAGGTCAAGTGCCCTGCAAAGCCTAATGGTTTGTAAGACCGCGGCTTATCCCTGTTGTGGCCATGTGGCGAGGGATGATAGAGGGAAGCCTTCCATTTAGACTTAATGCCTGATAATTAGGTAAACTCCTGAGCCTGCAGAAGTCCAGGCCGCCCTCTGCTACTGTTGTCACCGAGCACACAGACGAGAGAAAGGAGCCTGAGGAGCCGCTTTAATGCTGGGCTGTTGGGAGATCAGCGTGAGGTTCACACTAGGTTGCGTTCATCACTTTACTCAGGCACACAATCCCCGCAGCTTTATCCCGGTTTATTCTCCGGTGACAAACAAATTACTGTTGGGCGCGGGGGGAAAGCAATCAAACCATACAGAGTATAAAGGTGCGCTCGCAAACACAATTACAATGGGTTCACTGTGAATCTGGGATGCATTGTTTGCTCAACAAAGCGTCTTTTCAGAGGCTGAGTGATGTAAAGTGTTTCTTACAAGACTTAACAGAGGCTCGCCGATGTAAGGGATGAGCAGCACAATGTGTTTTAATGAGCCGTCTGTTTACTGATTGTTTCGCTGCCTTTGTTGGAAAAAAAAAACAAAACAAGAGAAGATGAATAACTAGAAGGTATCCGCTGTGCATCAGCTTCCAGAAGGTCCAGCGGCCCCTGCCAGACACCCCAACTTGTAAAACAGGATTTTCCCCTCTGCAGTAATCAAGTTTCATAGACCGCAGAAATTTTGCTCTGTGGACTTGTCCGCTTGGAAAAACAATGTAGCAGCATGCATGAGGAAACACAAATATGTCAGTGAAAAATAGCCTGAGGTCATCTGAGTGAGTCCAAGAATGTGTTTAATCATCCGGCTCTGTGGATGTTTTAGAAGATAAACATGTGCATCACTTACTGCATTTTACACACATGCTAAGAAGAGCCAATACTTGGACTTTTCCCTTGTTCTTGCTTTCCAAATATTCTGTTTAAAATGAGAGATAATGCATGCTGGAGGGCTGGAATGTCAACAACACACAATGAAAGATATGTTTGTGCCAATTTACATGGAACATGATCCCAAAATACAGACGGGAGAGATTAGAAAAAACAGATATGATGAGCTTTAGATTTTAAAACATGAACTTGACCCTCAGCTAAATTTAATGATCGGGAAGTGTGTCCGAACAATTCAAGTAAAGTGGATCTGGTTTTAATTTGTGGGCAGATGATTCTATCTACCACTAGCTGGAGCATGCATTAACGTTAATATCATACACATGGCTTGGGGCCCATGTGTTTATGTTGAGGAACTTAATGGAGAGCAGTGCAAAATGTGAAGGTGATTAGATATGAAATGTTAAAGGTATAATCTAAACATCCACACTCCTGACTAAAGGGGAGAGCTGATTTGTTTTACAGCAGATTTTGACTTATTGATTATGGCAGCAACACAGACGCATGGCTGCAATAAACAGCAGCCAATCAGGTGACATCCCTCTAAGCGGATCCGTTGCTGAGGATCTAATTTCTTTTTGGTGACATTTAAAAAAAAGCTGAAGGTGAATCGCTCCGCTCTGTTTGTGACATCTGTTTGCAAGAAATACGATCACAACAGAGAGGAGGGTCATACTGTAGCTCTGACTGGCTGTGCAGGAACAAGTCAAGCACTTGACTGGCAGCGATCAACCAATGGGATGTCATTTACTGTCAGACAGTTTTGTTTCACTAATGACTAATTCATTTATGAATATCTATCTCTTTTGAAATGTAATGAAGCATCTTAAGTTCACTTTTGGAAAAGAATCTGCTCTCTTTGTCTTTGTTAACCAGGTCATTATCTCAGGATTATGAGAAAAGTTTTTACAACTGATGCGATATCGGTAAAGGCCGCTCTGATCTGCTGCACCTTGCTGTGCTTCTTCAGCATCAGCAATCTCAGGAGGCAGGACATGACATACAACAGATGCTGCAGATATCCAAGATGGCGGATGAAGAAACAGAGTCAGACACTATAGAGACAGTTCGTTGCCTTGTGATATTTTTCTCAATATGTCCTGCTGCATTCATTCATCGGCTGATCCACACATAAATAAATTTAACTTGTGGGCTGACAGGAAGAAGCTTGGAGTGAAAATTTAACAATTTGCATTCCCACTTGCAACTCTTCCTATATGTCGTCAAATTTTTCATGAATTTTGTTGCATGTGTGAATATAGCTGTAAAGCGCCATACATTTACTGTGTTGTTCCTCTTCTTCATTGTTCTCTCCTGCTCATAATCAACCTCTATCATCCGTCTCTCTCTCTTTAAAAGCTATAAATAAAACGTGTTCTTTATTTCCACTGAATCTGTGTCTCTGTGAAGTGACAGAAACAGCTGTCAAATCTCTTCTACATTCTTTCAGCTGTAGTGTTTCCCTGATGGGCTTTAAGTCACGATGTGCTGCTGTTACCTTCCTGATGACGGGGTGACCACACTGAATGAACTATTTAAAGACTTGTTACAGTGAATATAAGAGATTCATTTGCTGCTCGTTGTTAATGGCTTCAATCTTTATTCTTTATATTGATTTCATTGACACATCTGCTGAATTGCTTTGTTTATTTGATATGACTGCAGATGTTTATTTAGGTAAAACATGGTATTAGCACATACAGATGTGTTATGACCTCAAAACACATCTGTTTGCAGACAGTGTGTTAAGGTGTGACAGGATCCATTTAAACATAAAAACATGGTATTTTTTTAAAATATTTCTTATCCCAAGTATAGGGGTCTCCATGTTTTTTTTTATGTTATTCATGTACATCCAAAAGCTCCCAGAATGCACCTGGTCTGCAGCACCTTGTAGCGAGCTCCAGCTAACAGACAGTCCAGCAGCAGCAGGAATATCAGTCATTGTTAAGAGGAAGCTGCTGACTCCATATCTGTGAGGGGGGATGGTGTGTGTGTTAGAGTGTAAGTGGGCGAGGGGTGCGTGTGTGTGCGTGTGAGTGTGTGTGTACTGTGTGTGTGTGTACTGTGTGTGTGTGTGTGTGTGTGTGTGTGTGTGTGTGTGTGTGTGTGTGTGTGTGTGTGTGTGTGTGTGTGTGTGTGTGTGTGTGTGTGTGTGTGTGTGTGTGTGTGTGTGTGTGTGTGTGTGTGTGTGTGTGTGTGTGTGTGTGTGTGATTGTGACGGATTGGGGGAGGGTAGAGGCTTTGACTGGACTATCCGCTCTACTGATGAGCGCAGCACATCTCCAACTCGACTGCAGCAGCACTGCTCAGGAATACACACACACATGCACACACACACACACATGCACACACACGCACACACATGCACACACACACACACACACACACACACACACACACACACACACACACACACACACACACACACACACACACACACACACACACACACACACACACACTTCTGTACTGCAATATAGAATCTGAATCATGAGCTCTCTAAATAACTGAATGCATCCTCGTCTTTTATCCATGAAATCATTCTGCTTGTGTGATGATCTTTACAATGCTGTAATTCCTTTGTTTAGTTTCTTCAGGCTGCAACATAATTATTATGGCAAGATAATAATCACATGACATCTCCTGAAAGTTGTTGATTTAGTGACTAACAGGCTCAGATTGTTTTCTCAGTGTTTGACAATATAACAGTAAGCGATATAGATTCTTATTTAAGAAGATGATTTTTTCTACATCACTCTTTTTAAATCCAACAGAAAACCCTGAGGTTTCTACTGCTGCCTTCATTGTTTAAC